TTTAGGGTATAATAGGGTTTAGGGTTTAGGGCTTAGGGTATAGGGTTTAGGGTTTAGGGCTTAGGGTTTTGGCTGTAGGGTATAGGGCTTAGGGTTCATAGGGTTCAGGGTTTAGGGTTTATAGGGCTCAGGGTTTGGTTTGGGTTTAGGGCTTGGGGTCTGGACGAAACCCTAAGGGTCCATGTGCCCAAATAGTATATACATTGGCCCCAAAGTTGCGTTAAGGCCAATGTACATACAATATGTGCACAAGGATCCGTGGGGAAAATGGCGTGTTGGGATTTCGAGTTTAGGGTTTCTAGGAATAAAGAGCCTAGGGTAATCACAGGGCATATAACTTGGTATTTTCGCCCTCGAGTCTAAGGTTAAGGGGTTTTGACTTTAAGGTGTTGCGGAAAAAGAGTATAGTATGGTTCAGGATTGGGCTTTAGGGTTCTGGGTTTAGGGCTGTAGGAGTACATGATTCCGGGTGTGGGAGCTTTGGGGGTTTGGGGTTTAGGGTGTAAGGCTTTAGCTTAGGATTTAGAGTTTAGGGTGTTGGGTATATCGATTTAAGCACTGGAGGTTTCGGGTGCAAGGTTCAGCGGTTTAGCGGTTTCCGGTTTGGGACAACTTACGGCTGTAGGACTCTTCATCTGTAGGGTGAAGAGGCGTGAACACGACAAGCAGACGGAGTGCAATGGGGCATCCAGCTTCTGACTAGAGCCCTTACTACAGCCCTAAAACGTATGCCCGACACCCCTAAAAGCCTAAATGCCCAAAACGAGTCTACTTTCAAGGCGCAACCAGCAGGCACAACCCCCAGGGGTCTGTGTACCCCAATAGTCGATACTCTGGCCTTGAAGTAGTCCCTAAAAAGGTACTTTTGGGCCAGTGTATATACTGTATGAATACATGGACCCTTAGGGAACTGCATGTTTACCCTAAACCCTAAACCCTAAACCCTAAATCCTAAACCCTAAATCCTAAACCCTAAACCCTAAACCCTAAACCCTAATCCTAAACCCTAGACCCTAAACCCTAAACCCTAAACCCTACTCGGAGTTTAATGGCTTGGAACCTGGAGGCCTTCAGCCTTCCACCTCGTTGGGTTTGGGGCTTTCAGGCTTACCCATACTTGGAGGCCCGGGGGACTCAGTAAGTCGGGTTTAGGGTTTAGGGCTTAGGGTTTACTTGGAGGCCCGGGGGACTCAGTAAGTCGGTTATAAGTAGTGTTTTATAATTGGGGTAACTCCAGTTAGGGTACTTGTAACTCTACTTATAACCTACTTACCAAGTCCCCTGGGCCTCCAAGTAGGCCCCATAGTAGTTCCTTTTTGTGATTATTATATTTAGGATCCTATTAGGTAATCCCAAAAAAGGCACTACTATGGGGCCTATGGGTAGAGCTCATAAGGTTTAGGGCCAGGTTTCGAGGCCTATAGAGATGCCCCCGACATGTCTACTAATTACGGGATTCGGGTTATAGGAGTTGCGATGGCAGCTCTTGCTCCGGGTAACCGTGTAGAATGTAATGTAAAATCCACACGATGCTGCTGATGACGCCATTATGATGACGAAAGTTAGTGTACTAGCAATGCAACGACACTACACCCTAAACCCCAAACATCCCCAAGCCCGATACCCCAAAGTCCGAAAATCCAATCCTACACCCCGCAACCCAAAAGCCATAAAACCTGAAAACACAAAACCTCAACAACAACCTGAACCCTCAGCCCTCAATCCTACGTCCGATGATCCTCCTGCTCGGTGCCAAAGCGCCTCCGAAGCTCTTGGATGGACACCTGACGTTTGGGTTTGTCGGGTTGTCCGTCGAGTTGTCCTTCGGGTTAACAGTCGGCTTGGCTGTCGAGGTGTCCTTGGGGTTGTCCGTCGAGTTGTCCCTCGGGTGGTCTGTCGGGTTGGCTGTCGAGGCGTCCTTCGGGTTGTCTGTCGGGTTGGTGTCGAGGCGTACTTCGGGTTGTCTGTCGGGTTGTCGGTCGGGTTGTCCTTCGGGTTGTCTGTCGGGTTGGTGTCGAGGCGTCCTTCGGGTTGTCTGTCGGGTTGTCGGTCGGGTTGTCCTTCGGGTTGTCTGTCGGGTTGGTGACGAGGCGTCCTTCGGGTTGTCTGTCGGGTTGTCTGTCGGGTTGTCCTTCGGGTTGTCTGTCGGGTTGGTGTCGAGGCGTCCTTCGGGTGTGTCGTCGGGTGTGTCTGTTGTTTTTGTGTGTGTGTGTGTTGTCGGATGTGTCGTTGGGTTTGTCGGGTCGCGGGGTTTGTCAGGGGTTTGTCGGGTTCATAGAACAGGGTGGTTTGAGAGTTCAAGGTTTGGGGTAGCTTCGGGTTTAGGGCCTAGGGTTTAGAGATGCCGGGTGTTCGTCTTTGGTACATAGGGTTCAGGGTACTGCTGTTGCTGAGCTGATGTGTGGTGGTCTCTGTTCGGTTCCCGGGCAGGACGTGTCTGGCTCTTTCGCTGTCCTTGAACTTCAACAAGGTATGCCTCATCGAGGTCGTGGTCTGTGCGATTGCTGAAATACAAGATCGAGTGCTGCAGCCATTCATACGCCTGCTAGTTTGTGCTTACACTACTGGCAATCTGGCTGCTGTCAACTTCAGTATCGTTACCTCCTCGGGTATTTGCCTATAAGTTCTCAGAAAGTCATGCGAAAGCCACATTATGTAGGTGACCCTTTGTAGAACCTCATACACAACCAGAAGCAATCCACATGGCACCATTCGTTAATTCGGCATGGGGCTCGTTTAGAACATGTCTGCATGGACAGCCCGTCTGAGGCTGGAGCGGTGTCTTGATAAGCCTGGGGCATAAACCTCGCAGGCTTTGACTGGCTTAAGGGCTTGATAGGATTCGTCGGTTATGGGATTATGCTTTGGCTTTGGTGGATGTGTCCCGAAACTTACAACTTACACCCAAGCAGCCTTCAAAATTGCAAATCTCACCAAGGGATCGAAGTGCTCGTTTCTTCGCCTAGCTGAAACCAGACGTCCCCTTTCGGGTTTCGTCTGGCCTCGGAGGGTTACCCTAAACCCTAAACCCTAAACCCTAAACCCTAAACCCTAAACTCGGACCGAGGTCTTCCTAAACCTTAAAACCGAAAACCCAGGTTCGGATTGCTGAAGGAGTCATTAAGGCTTGGGCTTCCCAAGGTCGACAGTTTGAAGGCATCCTGCCTCTACATCATTGTTTTAGGGTTTGGGGTTGAAGTCTGGTTTGACATAAACACTTACAGAACTTGCCTACAGAAAGGTGATGAAGGAACATTCTTGCCTATCCTCGTGTTGCACGTTTCAGCCAGGGCCCTTCAAGCCAAGACCTTTGCCTTGTGGGGCCATGGGTACTTGGCACCCTAAACCGTGGGCAGTTGAGAAAAAAAACCCAAAACCCTAAATCCCGATATAAACCCCTAAACCCCCAAACCCTAAGCCCCTAAACCCCTAAACTCTGAACCCTAAAACCCGTAAACCATAACATGTTAGGCACCCGATGCTTCAATCCCGCAGGCCGTCAGGACAAGGCACCTCGTTCGATCTCTGGACTTTACGCTTGAGGTTGAGGGTTTACGGATTTAGGGTTTAAGGGTTTAGGGCGTTTAGGGCTTGGGGCTTAGGATTTTGGGTTTAGGAGTTAGGTTCAGAGACCCCAAGCCTAGCTTTCCAAAAACCAAAACTCTATATCAAACCTCGCGGCCACTACGAGGGACGCAGCTGCAAAGCAAAATGCCAGTCTGAAAGCAAAACCTATACAAGTATATCTAGCTACTATAATATATCATATACACATATGTATATAAATGTATACATGCATATATGTATGTATATGTATGTATGTATGTATGTATGTATGTATGTATGTATGTATGTATGTATGTATGTGTGTATGTGTGTATGTGTATATATATATATATGGTTGCCCGCCCAGAAAAATGTGTGTGTGTGTATATATATATATATATATATGGTTACAATAGCAGCATGCATAAGGAGACCTCAAGATCCTGAAGGTGCCGCAAATGGAAACTTGCATCCTACTGCAATGCAACCCGCAGCAGCTTGACCCCCGACGACCGAACCCTCTCATACACTAATTATTACCCGAACTAAACAGCCCCAGCACCAATACGTACACCGCAAAACCCTAAGCCCGAAAGCCTAGATTCCTGAACCCTCAACCCGGAGCCCCCCCCCAAGCCTAAATATCACACCCTAGACCGTAAGCACTAAGGTCTAAGCCCTAAGCCCAGGACCACCCCAAGCCATAAGCCCAAGCCTCAAAAGCTAAACCCTGAAGCCCAACTTGAAACCTTTAGCGCGGGACACAACGATCGGAGGCAACTAGCATTTCAATGATTTAAACCCGCAGCCCAGCGTAAACCCTGGAAGCCCCTAACCCGTAGCCCCTAAACCCTCCTGAACCCTAAACACACACACCCACACACACACACGCACACATACCCTAAAAACTAAACCGTATCTACCTAAACTAACATACCCAGTTTGTAAAGGTTCTTATGATATAACTCTTACTCTTACGAAAAAAGTCGTCTTGTTAGCTTAAGGTATGTTAAGGACATCGCCCCAAGGCTCGGACCAGTACTTCTCGTGCTCCTCCTCGGGCTCTCGACCATAGCGCAAGGAAAAGAGCTCCTGTGGAGAGTTCGCAGGGTTGAAAAATCAGGGTTCAATCTTTAAGGTTTAGGGTTTAGGGTTTAGGGTTTGGGGTTTTGGTGTAGAGAGTTACAGGTTTAGGGTTTTATAGGGCTTATCGAGCGCAGGGTTTAGGGTTTAGAGGTAGAATAGTGCTTTGGGGGGTTCAGTTACATTGAGGAACCCTATGGAAAAAATCGGTAAATGTCCACGTCTCCATATCTTTCTTCCTCTTTCACGGCTTACTGTTACTGGCCGAAGGAACAGTATTGGTATATTTGCAGGCCCACATATTACCTACTTTTGCCCTTGCACAGGCTACTGTTCAGGGTTTACGGTAACTCTGGGCACAAGGCTCCATGCGCCTACATAGTATATACTTAAGCCTTAAAGGGGTTCCAAAATAGGTACTTGACGGCCTAAGTTTATACTACTGTATATGGCCTCCAGGTATAAGTTAAAGGTCCATGTGGGTAATACAGAGTATATACTTCGGCCTCATGAGGGACTCTGGGGCGACAGTATCTACCAAACGGGTAATTGGACAGGTTTAGGATTTAAGGGCTTAGGTTTAGGGTTTAGGGGCTGGCTTCGGCATGGTATTTCCGCTGGCCAACATCTCCTTCAAAATACACGAGAAGGACATGTACAATGTACTGCCTCTGATTTAGGGTACCTGTCAAGGAAAAGTAGGATCTCACCTACCTGGAGGCCCAGGGGACTTAGTAAGTCGGCTATAAGTAGGGTAATAATTTGGGTAACTTCAGTTAGGGTACTTATAACTCTACTTCTAACCTACTTACTAAGTTCCATGGGCCTCCAAGTACTGGCTGCGCTAAACGCCCTCTTGGCTGAGGGTTTCGAGACTCAGTCTGTTCAGGGGGCATGGGGGTTTAGGGTTTAGGGTTTTTAGGGTTCAGGGTTTAGCCCCGGTTCGGGGTTGGGGTTTCGGAGTGTAGGGTTTTCTTCAGAGTCCTGATTGCAGGACTTGGAAGTGCGATTTGAGGTTGACCTGAAGATTTCGGTTAAGAGTAGGTACTTAGGGTAGCTATGGCTTTGAATTCATCACCCACCAACCCCCTAAACCCTAACCGTAATCATCTACCGCTGCCTCAAGCAAGTTTCTGCTAGGACCTCCGACTTTAGGGTTTTTGGTTTGCAATCCGAGACCGTTCCAAATAGGCTCCGATGACCTTCGATATGCCCCTTGGCCGCAAATATTAAACAGAGCGTGTGCAATCTCCCCTGGGTTTGTACTTAGTATGATAAGATGTCTTTACGAGATGCTTCCCAGGGAGCAGCCCGCATTGACCCTAGCCACCTGCCTTGTAGTAGTCGGCCCTGCATAGGCGAAGAGTCGTGGTGAGGTTGTCCACCTGGGGAAGCTTTCGGGTTTTGGGGTTTAGGGCTAATCGAGGTTATGGTCACAGGGCTTGGGCTTCAGGGTTTAGGGGTTTGGGGTTGGGTTCCAACGTTTAAAAGTTTAGGGACAGGAGAAATCCCGAACCCAGACCAAGCCCTAAACATCCAGCCCAAATTCTGAAATCAAGACACTGAAACGGCCTACTTGCATAGCCCTAAGGGTCCATGTAACCACATAGTATGTACAGTGGTCTTGAAGTAGTCCCTGTATAGGTACTTTGGGGCCAAAGTATATACTGTTTGGGCACACGGATCCTTAGGGTAGGGTCTAGCAGCCTAGCTTTCTGGCTTGTGCATTTACTTGAGGCTTTTTGGAGTCCTCGTCTACTTCGGGTAGTTCTCCAACCCTAAGGATCCATGTACCAAAGTAGAATAGACTTTGGCCCCAAAGTACCCAAACAGGGACTACCTTAAGGCCAGAGTATGTACTATTCAGGTACATGGACCCTTAGGGTAAGTAGGGCTCCTTCTTTCTTGGGAGCCCTACCAGCAATTAACTACGTCATTCTCTACAGAGAACCAGGGTTGCCCGAGTGTTGAGCATAACCAAGTTAGAGGGGAAGGCAGGGAACCCTACGCTAAGGGCCTTGATTCGCAGTAGGGTTGTGGGGTATATCGTAGATAACTGTAATCAGAAAACACTGTGGAATAAGATTCTTATTCATACAGTCATGCAGGCTTCTATTTTACACCCTCGATGCTACTCTCCCTTTGCCCACCTCCCACTACAGCAAGCTATATTGCAACACCTAAGTACCGACTACCGAGCAACATATAAACTGGCCCTAAACCTTTGGGGTCAACTATAGGTGCCTTAATGATTAGAGTTGGGCTTGGAGCACTGTGCATGAACTTAATACTAGACTCATATCGGGGCTGCAAGGAGTCTAGCATTACAAACTCTTCGAAACCAAACCCTCAACCCTGGACCTCTTCATGACACTCTGCAAAAGGCACCTTACGCGTCAACACCGAGATGGCCCGGTTCATGGTGTTCACCCGACTTGCCTGAGTTTACTCGGAGGTTCATGGGTAGTTATATAAGGAGGGTTAGAAGTTCCCTAATATGGGTTACAAGTATAGTTATCCTACTGTAGGGGCCTTAATAATTAGAATAGGATTTTGGGGGGTTCCTTAATTATAATTATAGTATATTAACCCCCACAACCCTATTCTTTTTTTAAGGCCCCTATATGACTTATAACCCACATATAACTGCCCGTGAACCTTCAGAGCTGGTTTGGGCTCTGGGGTTGAATACTTGGAGGGTCGGGGGACTTAGTAAGTAGTTACTTTATAGAGTTATAAGTATCATAACCCCAATTAGGATCCCTTTTAGGGTACTTATAAGTCTACTTATGACCCACTTACTACGTCCCCCGACCCTCCAAGTAGCGGCCCCATGCTTCCGGCGTAGGGGCTTCGGGCTTGGGGTTGAGCTGCAGGGGAGAAAATGAAGGGGCCTAGATCATTAGCAATACTATTTTGGGGCGTTCTTCATTCTAACTCTAGTATAATGGCCCCCAATAAACCCTATTCTAATTATTAAGGCCCTTATATTAGGGGGCTGACTGCGTGTGGAGGCCTATGAGTTGCAACTCGTCATGCGTTTTGATTTTGATGTTAGCTGGTATCCGTGACGCCGTATTGCTTGGCCTGGCTTCCATCCGTCTGAGCTTGGGGCCTTAATGCCAGAATGCCCGATGCTCTCATTTCTGTTGTGCAGCTTCATGGTAGCCCAGCATTCGGGGGGGGGGGGCCCTTAACCCTGCAGCTCCACCCTGACTAGAGATGAATCTCTCTACATGTGCGAGCAGACATGTACACGACGATCTGAAACACATCCCCTCATGATCAGCCCTGCCAGCCCTGATAAGCCCTGCAAGCCCTGAAACCGAGATTATACCTATAGTCTCCATTGTCGTTCCTTTTTTGGTTTAACCATTATATATATTAAGGATTTCATAAAGTATCCCCAAAAAGGAACTACAACGGAGACTATAGCTAGGGTTTAGAGTTTAGGGTAGGCCCCTTCTGGCATTCTCGGAACCTCTCAACTCTGCAGGTGAGTAGCAGGCACCAAGATACGTGGGCCACCCATTCCTGAGCAAGTCGGTTTAGGGTTTAGGGTTTAGGGCTTTAAGTCTGCAGCCCTATCGAACCACACTAAATCCTAACCCTCCCTTCTGGTCGGGTTTAGGGGGCTTGAGGATTTCGGGTTTGGGGCTTGTCACACTGACTATGCGTTGTCTTAACATAGAAGTCCCCATGTTCCAACACTGCTTAGAGGCTGCAAGATGGGGATCATTCGGGATTTGCACGGACAATCCGCCAACCACCGAGACCTTGTTGATAAACCCAGAAAGAATTATAGTTGATTCGGAAAACCCCAACATCTGTAAATGCTTACCAAGCCGCCTGCAAACGCCTTGTAGCCCCGCAGCTATTCCATGCCAACAAGACACCCCCAGAGAAATAGGCAATGCAAAGACAAGCGAGCCGTGCCTAAACGGCCACAACATGCCGAACCCTAAACCCGCTTCTTCGTTCAGGAAGAGTTTTGCTTTCTTACTCCGAAACCTGTAAACTCCACAAACGCGTAACCTAAACTCTAAACTCTAAACTCTCAATCCCCCAGCAGTGCCCTCAAAGGCCATATGCACGCATTTCGGTCCCAGATGCCCGGCTGCACGCTGGCATCAACGAAAATGATTTCCTGGACCTCCACGCTTAACTAAAGGAAACTACAGGTGTAGGGGTTTAGGGTATATAGGGCTTAGGGTTTAGGGTTTAGGGTACTACAGGTGGGGAGTTTATATAGGGCTTCTATCAGGCTTCCAACGGGTAAATAGACCTTCTATAAGGCTCCTATAACGGTAACTACCACCTGAAAATGTCCTAGGCTTAACGGCTGTGCACCCGACTTCAAAAATCGCGTGTCGGCTTTGTTGAAACATGCAGTGCGTTCGTGTGCTGTGAGAGCCCTCTGCAGACAGTTACTCAAGTGTTCATACACAAATGGCATCCATCCATCCAAAACGAACAGATCGCAAACGGGACAGGTGCTACTGCCTCTGTGCCTGCGTGTCGGTACTCTGCAGTACTCCGCGATTGAACAAAACGACAATTCCCAACTCCAAAACCTGAGCCCTAAATCCTAAAGCCTTTATAGACTTTCTCCCTAAACCCTAAACCCGTGATGCACTCTAAACTCTAAACCCTAAACCTCCAAACCCTGCCATAGCCTGCTTTGTTGCAAGTTCTTCGCGTACACCCTTATCTCCAATTCTTTCGTGACCCTACGAAAGAGCAGGTTTTGGTAGCTTCGGGTAGTCCTACTTGGAGGTCCAGGGGACTGAGTAAGTAGGTTATAAGTAGAGTCCTAAGTACCCTAACTGGAGTTATCCCAATTATAACCCTACTTACAACCGACCTGCTAAGTCCCCTGGACCTCCAAAACCCTAAATCCTGAACAAGTAAACATCGGAATTCCTGTTCGGACCTTCTCGCCGCTCTCCGAGGTGTACGCAACCTCCAAGGTCACTGGTGCCTCGTAGTCCTCCTCTGCCGAAGCTTAGGGTTTAGGGTTTAGGGTAACCAACTGGGAAAAAGTATATATTTTTTGGTTTAGTTATATCTTATTAGGAACCGAAGCCCCAAAAAATAGTAAAAAAGGATACTTCTGAACATCCTAGGAAGTGTGTATTGCAGGGGCCTTAACAACAAGCCCAGGTCCCTAAACCCTAAACCCTAAACCCTAAACCCTAAACCCTACCCTAAACCCTAAACCCTAAACCGCCCTATGTTTAGGTCCTTATACCAGTGCCCTCTATAAACCCTGAGCAAACCTCGAATCAAGCTCTAAAGCGCAGCCCGGGAGTCTGAAACTATTCCTCAGAGACCGAACCTTAAACCCTACTTAGACCCCCCAACTACCCTCTAATATACCCTAAATACCCACTATTAAGGACCATAAGGGCTCCATTAAAGGGCCCTTGGGGGTCCTGGTAAACCCTAAACCTAAATACTCGACGCTGAGCCAAGAAATGTTGTAATTCTCAAGCCCCAAACCACACAACCTGGATTCCAAGACCTGCAGCCCTAAAGCCCGAAATCCTGCACGCTGACATAAACCTGCACTTGAAGCTAGTGGCGTAGTGGGACCCCCTTTGAACCTCGAGGGATCCGAATTTCGGGCCAGGGATCGGGCGGGAGGGACGATGTTCTGGGAAGACTACACCTGCCATAGGTCGTGTGATAGTATACCTCGTATAGTCATATCTATATATATATATAATGTATCATATATGCGTGTAGCTTTTCTTAGAGTCTTAGAGTATATTAGCTAATAACAATAAGTTAAAGTCCATTTGAACGAGCCTTTTTGCACTTCCAGAACACGGAATTCGCCTTGCATGAGGTCGAGCAGCTCAATGCGTCCATCGCGGTCGCTGCGGAAGAAAGTGTTCCCATCGCTACACAGTCCGAGCTTCATCACGTCCTTTAAAGGAGTTTAGGGCTTTGGGTTTAGGGTTTAGGGTTTTGGAGGGGTTTAGGGTTGCAGGTGTAGGACTTCATCACGTCCTTTGGAGGGGTTTAGGGTTTCAGGTGTGAGGCTTCATCACGCCCTTTGGAAGGCTTAGGTCAGTTTAGGGTTTCAGGTGTGAGGCTTCATCACGCCCTTTGGAAGGTTTAGGTCAGTTTAGGGTGTCAGGTGTAGGGCTTCATCACGCCCTTTGGAAGGTTTAGGGAAGTTTCGGGTTTAGGGTGTAGGACTCCATCACGTGCTGTGGAAGGCTTAGGCAAGCTTAGGGTTCAGGGACTTCTTCACGTCCTTTGGAAGATTTAGGGAAGTTTAGGGTTTATATTAGGGCTTCATCACGTCCCTGGAAGGCTAAGGGAATTTTACCTTAAGGGTCCAAGTACCTAATAATCATGTACTCTCCCAAATAGTAACCTACATAACTACTATCCGAAACCTAAGTACCTGATTATTGGGTCCTTTGGGCCTTGGGGTTAGGGTCTAGAGCTTCATCCCGTCCTTTGGAGGATCCGGTGTTGCTGGTAAAAGCTCCAGCGACTCCCTCGACCAGCGAAAGAGACGTCCGTTGGACTCAGCAAGGAAGATAATGGAGGCATCTACCGAGAATCCAATATCCGAAAATAGCCACCTGCATTCCGGCACAACGACGGTTCGTGTCTGCCCATCACAGAGACGTATCACCGCCACCTGTCCGTCATCCCGGTGCATCGCTACTATCTCCTTCTCATCTGATGAGAAGGCTGCCCGGTCCACCCTAGAGAAAGTCATGGCATCAGGCCGGTGCTCACGATCCCACACCGTCAGTTCCCGATCCTCGCACCAATATGCAATCCAAGACCCCGAAATCGAAAGCCGAGCATTGTGGAAAAAATACGTTTCGAAGTTCTCCCAACGATGGCAGCGAGTCCCATCGTGGTAGTTCCAGAGTTCTATCGCACCTGACTGAACAACCAGCGCCAGTCGGCACATGGACTGCATAGCGCAAATCGTGCCAGTGTTGTCGTCGGGTCGAAAGAAACATGAGTGCGGCTCCCCTGTCAATGTGTGCCACATCCGCACTGTCTCATAATCTGCACAATCGGCAATTACGAACGCCCCGTCTGGAGAAAAAAAGACAGAGACGTATGTGTCAAGCCAGCGTGGCGACAAGGGGAATCGATGAACGCATGATCCTGGAATACCTCGCCACAGTTGTACACAAAGAAACCCTGCCCCATAATTCCACGACTTCAGTAGGGTATACAGCTCGCCGTCCTTGCTGGGATGGTAACAGCACAGCCCGTTTCAAGCCTTCGGTGGCTTTGATCTGAATGTTAAGATTGAGACGACTCATAACCAGAGTGAACCGAAGCAGTCTTTACGGTGGCTTCGGAATAACCCCTCAACACCTCGTCCTGACGAATGAAGAAGCGCCTGGAAATCCTGGCATTGGTCCTAAGCACACTGCACCTGGTCTTGCTATCAACGGCAAAGAATCCTCCAGCCGCATCGCATCTTCCACGTCTTGGAATTCCAAGCCGTCATCCTTTTCGATCACGGGGTGCTCGAGGGTGCAGGCATCCTGGGTTGCTGTTAAGGAACTTACATTCAGTTACTATAATCAGCAAACCGATTATTTACTATATATCCCATTATATGGTAACTTGAATGAATTTCCTTAACAGCAACCCAGCATCGCAATCCCAGATGGCAGGGGTAAGGCGAGAATGTGTAACCAGGTCGCAGACAGGACCTGACCGTCCCATCACGCATGCACGCCAGACATCCCAAAAAAACAGGCCAAATCGTGCAAACAAAACCTGAGGTGCATACACTTCCCTGAACAACCCTAGACCCTAAACCCTGTGCACCTTGAATCCTTAACCCCGACACCCGGAACCTAAACCCTATAAACCCTAAACCCCTAAAGCCCTAAACCCTAAACCCTAAACCCCTAAACCCCTAAACCTCGAAACCCCTATACCCCTAAACCCCTAAACCCCTAAACCCCTAAAACCAAAACTGCAGAACCTAGGAACTGACCACCAAGAGGACTTCGACGGACGCCTCGGAAGTCAACTCCTCCAGTCTCTTCCTCAGAGGCAAAGTGCATGGGTTGGGGGATTTATAAGTTAGGGTTCAGGGTTTAGGGTTTAGGGTTTAGGATTTAGGGTTTAGGGTTTAGGGGGTTTAGGGTCCAAGATTTAGGGGTTTGGGGTAGAGGGTTTGGAGTTTGTTCTTTTGAGTAGACCCTTCGACTCTGAAGGCCCGTGCATGAATCTATGCACATGTGAAAAAGATGTGTTTTTCTGTTTAAAGGTCTAGGGTTTAGGGTTTAGGGTCCCTAAACCCTTCACCCTAAACCCGAATCTTGTCTGCGTGCATATGTGTGTGTGTGTGTGATGGGCAGTTGAAGCAGCGACCCGAGTAACAACTGTGCACACACACACACAGGGTGTTAGCGACTGAACACTGCGCATGGGCGCTGGCCAGGAAGTGTCGAAGCAACGCCATGAGGGCTTAAGGCTTACCGATTGTGAGGCATAGATTTGCAGGTCGAACATTCGGAAGCAACACTTGTCAAGCAGGAGGGTGCCTTCTCAACTTCCAGTAAGCCTGGTAGAAAGTGACGCTTCGATGCCACGGGCGCGTGTTGTAAGAACAGCGCCGCCATCACGCAGATGCTGCCCCAAGGATCCGGAATTCTAAGTTCGAAGCCTGGGTTCGGGAACTCTAAGTTCGAATCCTGGGTTCAAGAACCCTCCCGAGCACAAAACCTCCAACTCGTATATTGTTGACGGGTCCTAAAGTCGATAAACAGAACCTACCTTGTGCGATTTGCTACATCAAACGACACCAAAATGCTGCGTGCGAACTGCCGCAAACCTGCAACGCACAGCCCAAGCCGAAAGACAAGTCTTGTGTCGGCCAAGTGGCGAATCGGGTAGCAAGTCGGTGCCGCAGAGAAGCCTGAATGTCTCCAAACACCCTGAGTTTTATCTCATCCCCGAAACCAAAAGCCAAAAGCCAATTCCCTGAACCCAAAGCCCTCAGCCGAAAACCCTAAAACAAAATAACCGAAGGGCCCGCTAAAGCTCCTGCCCGTCCGAACGGGCTGGGGTTGAGGGTTTAGGGTTTTGGGTTGAGGGTTTAGGGGTTTAGGGTTCAGGGTTGAAGGTTTATAGGGTTTAGGGTTGAGGGTTTAGGGGTTTGGGTTTAGGGTTGAGGATTTAGGGGTAAGGGTTTAGGGTTGAGGGTTGAGGCTTGAGGGTTTCGGGTTAGGGTTGACGGTGCAGGGTTGAGGGGTGTTAAGGTTGAGGGTAAAGGGTTTAGGGTTGAGGTTCAGGGTTTAGGGTTGAGGTTCAGGGTTTAGGGTTGCGGGTGTAGAGTTTCGGGCTTGGGATTTGCCGGGTTTCAGGTAGGCTTAGGGCCTATAGGGTTTGACTTTTGCCTGTCGAGTAGCAGAACGAGCGATGTAAGCCCTGGAAGCCATGAGCTTCAATCCTAAAACCTTCAACCCTAAACCTTAAACTCTGAACCTTAAACCCTCAAAACCCTCAACCCTAAAAACCCTTCAACCCTATAAACCTTGAGCTCTAAACATGAAGCCTTAAAACCCGGAATCTGAACCCAAAGCACTGACCCCTTTTTCCCCCTACAGCGAATCCCAGAAAGTTGGAACATAGGTTTAGTGCTAGGACACCTTATACTTTACCTTAGGGGCAATAGGATATTGATGTTCCAACTTTCTGGCTTCTACTGTAAACGCCCAAGCCCCTGGCTCTGGACATCTCCTATCGATGTTACTAGTATACCGGCTCAAACCGGACTTGTCCATTCCGACCTCGCGCTCGCGGGCTTTGCTAGGATCCAAGGTTGGGGGACTTAGTAAGTAGTTCTTTTATAGACTTGTAAGTATCATGACCCCAATTAGGAAGTAGTTCTTTAATAGAGTTATAAGTATCATAACCCCAATTAGGATCCCTATCAGGGTAGTTGTAAGTCTACTTATTACCCACTTACTAAGTCCCCCGACCCTCCAAGTAGAATCCAAGGTGCTTCTGCCGCCTTGCTGACACCCGGGTCTGTGCAGCGATGGCAATCTGCTCAGGCGTTTAAGGCTTGAAGCTCCAGGGGTTTAGGGTTTAGGGTTTAGGGGTTTGAGGTTGTGGGGTTTAGGGTTTAGGGTTTAGGGTTTAGGGGTTTAAGGTTGTGGGGTTTAGGGCTTGGGGGCTCTAATGTGCGGCCCCCACAATCAGAATAGGTTTAGGGGGTTCCTTGTTTCAATTATAGTATAATAATATACCCCCCCAAACCCTATTCTAATTATTAAGGCCCCCATATTAACCCTAAGCCCTAAAGTTCGGGGTTTACGGGTTTAGGGTCTATCGCTTCTGTTGGAGGGGCTTCAGAGCTGGGGCTTCTTCGCGGTTAAGGTTAGAGGCTCGGGTCGAGGGTTCCCAAACAGCTCATCAGAAAGGTTTAGGGTTTATTAGGGTTCAGCTCTCTTCTTCAACAACCAGGCCCAAAAAAGTTCAAACTTTTTAGGATAGACTGAATATATAAGGCCAAAAAGTTTAAAGTTCTCCTATTGGCTAACTAAGTCAGTGTCTATTAGGATTTAGGGTTTAGGGTCTTGGGTTTATTAGGGGGTAGGGTTTTTTTTGGGTTTAGGTTTAGTGGCTTTTACGTCGGACTGGGGTACCTCTCTCCAACAACTGCCTGCAACTAAGTCTTTAGAAAGGTTTCAGGTGCTACAGCTGACGGACCTTGCCCGAGTACAACCAAAACATCTCGGTATGCTCATAATTCAAAGTTTGGACAATAATAGCAATAAGAAAAGTCATAATAATCTTAAGAAAACAAACATCAATAGACTAGTAGACTATTAGTAGCAATGCAATTGCAATAACAACAACAATACTCATCATCATAACAACAACAGTAACAATAACAATAACAATAGTGATGTTGATAGTGTGCTTCTAGGGATTAGGGCTTCGAAAGTCTTCACTGATGCAGTTAATGCTCATGTGCCACGCCCGGGCCACCTTCAAATCTCGGCAAGTCTCGCGCTTGTCTATCTTGACGGTGAAGCACGCACCACTGGGCTGCAGCACCTTCACCTACAAAGGCTGGCCACAAACAGGTTCAGGTTCTAAGGGATCCTTGACCGATACGCCCTGACTTGCAACTTCTACGAGTGCAGACTGCGAAGGTGCCAACAATCAGAAGATGAACACCAGCATGAGTTCTGCGGGTGATGTCTTGTTTCGGCTTGCGATTGGGGCAGACGACTGTCCTGCTTCTGGTTTGTAAACTTGCGGCAGACTGGTTGGTTCATGATTTCACCTCCGTCGAACTGAACCCTGAACCTTCAACCCTAAACCCCAAAGCACAACCCTACTTTCCCAATAAGCCAGGGAAATAAAAGGTTAAACTTTCAGATTACTACTACATTGTATTAATCCGAAAAATTTAAATGTTGGGTATTGGGGAACTAAGCTATAGATCCCTTTAAAGAAACCTTTATATCCTTATAAATTAAAGGAACCCTATAGATCCCTGTAAAGGAGAAATAAGCAATCCTAAAAGCCAAAAGGACCTCGTAAGTACTTGGGTTTAGGAGAGTAATGTTGTACGTTTGTGTCTGGATTTGGGAGAATGCTCTGAGGATTTGGTACGTACCGGGACTGGGACATGCCCAAAACTCCTAAACCCTAAATCCTAAGCCCCTAAATTCTAGACATTAAACCCCTGAACCCTAAACCCTAAAACCCTAAACCCCTAAATCCTAAACCCCCCTCATCCCGTGAGCACCTCCATAGCTTCACACGGCCCAGGCAGCGGAGAATGGCTCGTGAGCTCGGGAGATTTGGGCGTGCTGCCGAGTTAGGGATTTAGGAGTTGGGCGTGCTGCCGGGGTCTTGCTGCTTTTGGGTTGCTCTTGGTGTTGTAGGACTTACTTGGAGGTTCATGGGTAGTGATAAAGTAGGGCTATAAGTAGGGTAACTATGATTAAAACCCATGTTTGGGGACTCAAAACCCCACTTATCACTGCCCATGAACCCTCCAAGTTGGGGCTTGAGCGGAGCCTCGGCTATTCCTCTAAAGCCCTCGACATAGAAGTACAAAAAGGAGCCTCAATGACTGGACTAGGTTTCTTGGGGTAAAGTTTCATAAAGCATACAAAACATATTTTTATATTTGGGCACCCCTCGGGGATGATTTTCGTGACCGTTTAGGGTTCAGGATTTAGGGTTAAGGGGTCTACGGTTTAGGGTTTAGGATTTAGGGTTAAGGGGTCTAGGGTTTAGGGTTTAGGATTTAGGGTTAAGGGGTCTAGGGCTTAGGGTTTAGGATTTAGGGTTAAGGGGTCTACGGTTTAGGGTTTAGGATTTAGGGGTTGAAGGATTAGGGATTCAGGCCTCTGTGAATGATTCCTGCGCCGCTCAGACGCTACGCAACTGAGCTGGCACACCGAAGCGTCTGCGGGCTCAACTCTTCTTTGCGTTGTTGGGTTTTAGGGTTTAGGGTTTAGGGTTTAGGGGGCGTCTGACATTCAAGCATAGTAATGCCGTAGAGCTTAGGTTTCTGGGTTTAGGGCTTAGGGGTTTAGGGCCGCAGAGCTTAGGTTTCAGGTTTCACACCTTCAACTCAGCACGGAAATAGTAGGACACGGTGAGAGAGCTCTGGCAGCATTGGGTGAAGAAACGTGTCCCTGAACCCTAAACCCTAAACCCCAAACCCTAGACCCTTCAGAACCCTTTTAGGAACCCTTTAAGGAACACTTTCAGGGAACCGGAATGCCCTCTTTAGGGCAGAAGCCACGGGCTCCTCTCGGCGCTGAAAGATGTCGACGATATTCCCGCCATTCAGCGCCGACGGCTGCAGGCCCTCAAGGCTTCGGGGTGCTGCGGGGCTTTCGACTGTGTTAAGAAGGATCTTGCGGCTTTACGTTTTTATGTTAAGGGTTTAGGGCTTAGAGGGTTTAGGGTTTACGGTTTATAGGGTCTAGGGTTTAGGGTTTAAGGCTTCTCTGCGTGACTTTGGGGCAACAGGGTTGGATTCAGTCGGAGATGAAACAGATGCTTGGTTCCGGGTGTAAGACATACAATGCTTAGGATTCTAGGATGTAGGCTAAAGCACCGGGCACCTCAGCCACAGTGTCGTCGCTGAAGAACACCAGGTCCTGTGCAACATCGTCTTCACCATCCGAAGCTGCGCTAGAAGATGAATGATGATACTATAGGGGCCTTATTAATTAGAATAGGGTTTTGGGGTCCATTATACTATAATCATAATAAGGAAGCCCCAAAACCCTCTTCTAGTTATTAAGGCCCCTACATTCTTTCGAAACTGCAAATTGGCCTTTCGCGGAGCACGAGCATGTGCAACTTGAATTGGTGATTATTTAAGCCCCTACATTAGAAGTTGTTGCCTTAATAATTAGAATAGGGTTTTGGTGTCCATTACACTATATTCATAATAATAGGGAGTCCCCAAAATACTTAGTGTTGGTGATTATTTAAGCACCTACATTAGAAGTTGTTGGTGCTCATGGCAAGAGCAGTAGTCCATGCAACAACAGCCATCGACAGTAACTGATACTACCGGGGCCTTCACGATAACACCACTCAGAATGACGACATTGAATGTAGTATAGCAGCTGCAGCAGTCACAACCGCTAGGAAAGGCCCGTTCGACGGGGTCCATGACGAGGCCTAAGCTTTAAGCTTCAGGACCTTCATCCAGAACAGCTCCCGACAAGTAAAAGGGACCTTCTGAAACCATAGACCCTAAACCCTAAACCCCAAGCCGCAAGCCACAGGCCCCTGAGCCTGGTTGGTGTCTAAAGCCACTGGGTGCATCCCAAGCCGGACAGCCCTAAACACCAACCTCGTACACAGCCGGAACCCGTCCTGATCCCAGATCCGCCTCCCGAGCTGACCGGCAAAGAAGCTCGATTCCTGGGGTTTAGGGTTCAGGGTTCAGGTTTTAGGGTAGAGGGGCTCAGGGTTCAGGGTTCAGGGTTTATAGGGCTTAGGGTTCAGGGTTCAGGGTTTAGGGTTTAGGCATTAGGGTTTAGGGCTTAGGGTAGAGGGACTCAGGGGCTCCGAGTATTAAGATCGGGCTTGGGCGTTCTTGTTGAAAGTAGGGCTTCTCAGCAACTTGAGTAGGGTTTGAGGGTAAGGCGGCGAAGGGCACTGGACAATATAAACACATCTGTTCGCCGTTTAGGGGTAAGTACTTACTTCCCTGATAAGCCAGGGAAATAAAAGGTTGAACTTTCAGATTACTACTAATTTATAAGAACCCAAAAAGTTTAAAGGTTGGGTTTTGGGGAACTGAGAGTAGCTTTCCGGGTTTACCTGCAAAGGTCTGGGGCTCAGGGGGTTGAAAATCGCAGCGGTAGGAAAGCTGAGGACTTGGAGCATGAAGTTCAGGCATGAACGAAGACTTGAAGCATATGGGCAGTTGTCAAAGTTATGGTCCCTTTTGGGGGTACCCTAAATAATAGGTGCCATATTATAATCAGGACCCAAAAAGGGACCCTAATTTTGACAACCACCCATATGACTTGGGGGTTTTAGGGTTTATTTTTGGTTTAGGTTTGTTGCATTAGAAAGGAAAGCCCCAAACCATAATCACCTTTTAAGTTGAACCCGTAGTGAGAGGCGTGGGTCTGGTCATTCCCCTAAACCCTAAACCCTAAACCTAAACCCTAAACCCAAAACCCTAAACCCTGAACCCAAAAGCGTGGGTCTGGTCATTCACGACCCTGGAAGTCCCAGGCACTCGAGTCAGTCGGCATTCGGGCTTTCCGTGTTCGGGCTCTAGGAAAAGCTCAGTCATGTGGGAGTTTCCGAAAACAAGGGGTACCTTATTTTAGGGTCCTTATAATTATTGAAAGATCGTCGCGGCTTTCACAGCCGATTCCAGGTTGGTACACTTCTCGATTTGTGCAGCCCAGGGGCTTACAGAACCATCCAAGCGGGAGGCACCTACCCTTTTACGCGGCGCAAACAACAGCTCAAAGTGATTCCCTGCGAACATGCCGTTGGCATTCGTACAGGTTGAATCTACGTGTGAAGTCCTAGGCACTTGCAGGCCTACTTCACACATGCCTTGATGAAAAACGGTCGGAGGCAGTGCACATTCAACACTCCTCCTTGGAGCCAGCGCTAGAGCCGCTCCACCAACAATTATAAAACTGGGCTCTGCCGCCATAGACCGAACCACGAAACGACAAACGGCCAGGACTCGTGCACACGGGT